CGAAGCAGCATCTGGCTGCAGTTTAAAGACTTTTTTGTCTTGGTCTCGTCTCGACTTTGTCTTGGTCTTGACTCGGTCTTTCTTGGTCTTGGTTTTGTCCTGGTCTCGATACCCTCTGGTCTTGGTATTGTCTTGGTCTTGGCGGTCTTGACTACTAGTCTACTCTTACGCCACAGATATTTGTCTTGAGGCCACTGTTGTTGGGATTTTGATGTTATACAAGTAAAAGTGACTTGAATTGAATAGCATTTTTACCAGAGGGGTGTAATTAGGGTTAACAAGCTGTGACAGTCTGGGAGAAATATTGATACCTAAAGGTCTGTGAAGGTTCTCAGTCATCCAGGTCATCGTAGTCTAAGGAGCTTGGAAAGAAAAGTGTCTGGACTTCTTTGAGTTGCTTGAAGACGTTTCACCTCTCATCCAAGAAGCTTCTTCATTTCTAAGGGGCAAATGGTGGAGAGTCCCAGATTTGGTTTCCCCCCAAAGAGGGACAAAGGACCCCCTGATGATCCTCTACCTAATCACATGAGCCAAGGTGTGAAACTGGGTGTGGGTCCCAATCAGCCAGGGTTTCGGGTGAGCTCATTGTGAAACCTGGCCCCACTCTATCATGTGATTTCCTGAGGTCAGATGGCCCAGGATGTGAGTGGGCGTTAAGGCGTCTGGGAAGGGAACTCAAAACTGGATTATAGATGGCAGAGAGTTGGTGTCGTAAACCACCGCCTCTGTTCAAAGATGGTCGCTCACAGAGGACATAGAAGCTTCTTTCACTCCTCTTTCAAACCATCTGTCCTCTCTGTCCAAAATGTGAACATTGGCATCCTCGGAAGAGTGTCCTTTATCCTTAAGATGAAGATGGACTGCTGAGTCTTGTCCTGTGGAGGTGGCTCTTCTATGTTGTGCCATGCGCTTGTGAAGTGGCTGTTTGGTCTCTCAGCATACACCACATTGTTAAGTTTGTGTTTAGGAGTTTTTTCGGGTGAACCAGTTTCTGTCTGAGTGTGTTGCTGGATGATACCTAAATATTTAATTTTGACAGTGTGAAGTGGGATGAAATAATGATCTCAGGCATCTTCAGAATGAATAACATTATTCTAATTGTTCCAGTGTGTTCATTAGTTCATTCATTACCTGAATGTTTTTTTCAACATTTCAGCTTTCATAGAACTACCATGCTTTAACTAGCCATTAACATAGGTACTACAGTATAGAAAGATGGGCTGAAAGTAAGACATTGCAGTCATTTGTAAGTTTTTCCCAGTTTCAGAATTGTCAGAATGCCTGTTTCAGGTGACAACAACCCAAGTTACTTGGGGTTCAATCAAAGATGGATTTCTGATTGGCCTAACATCAATAGAAGTCATCAGTAAAACTGTCTCTAATGTCAGGAGTGTCATGGCGAGGAACGCTGGTGTATTTATGAAACGGACCCAAAAGCAGACACAGGAGAAATGAACTAAGGTTTAATAAAAAGTGAGCCTTTATTGTGGCTGATAACATAAAGAGGCAACAAGGCCAAACAAGGGAAAACCTAAACTGAAACCTCCACTGGAATAAACTAAGATTAACAATGAAAACTGTGACAACAAAATGAGCAAGAACCTACATGAACATGGAACGGTACGGGATCAGGGGGGTTGTACTGCACTGGGTGAAAAATTATTTAAGTGACAGGAAGCAATTTGTGAAGCTGGGTGTCCATTCCTCATCATGCTTAGACATTGCTTGTGGTGTTCCACAAGGCTCTGTACTGGGTCCAAAATTATTTATTATTTATATAAATGATATTTGTAAGGCATCTGATATATTAAAATTAGTATTATGTGCAGATGAAATAAAAAAATTGTTCTGGGGGGAATCTAAAGGAGCTGCTGGATACAATTACTTCAGAAATGAAAAAAATGGTTTAACAGGAACAAACTATCGCTAAATCTAAGTAAAACTAAAAGAATCTTTTTTGGGAATTCCCTTAGAAATGCACAGGTGCAGATTCATATAGATCGTGTGGAAATTGAAAGAGTACTTGAACATACGTTTCTTGGTGTGATTATAGATGATAAATTAAACTCGAAGTCTCATATAAATCGTATACATAACAAAATTTCAAGAAGTGTTTCAATCTTGAGTAAAGTAACACACATTCTGGACCACAAATCACTCCACAGTCTCTATTGTTCCCTGATTGCACCGTATTTGCATTACTGTGCAGAGATTTGGGGCAATACTTACAAATGTTTGCTAACATCAATGTTTATATTACAAAAAAGGGCCATAAGGATAATCCATAATACTGGTTACAGAGATCATACAAATCCACTACAATTTGAGGGAGGAATTAAATTTAAAACATCCTCGTATCCGTACAACATTAAAAGGTTTTTGCATCTCTGTGTGTGGAGTGAAGCTGACTAAGTAAAGATATGAAGCAATGTCTAAGCATGGCGCAGTTTAAAAAGCCGTTTAAGGATTTGGTTTTTGCAGGGCACAGAAACGAGGTAGAGATTTGATAGGGTGTCCTTGTCCAATATTTTCATGTGTGTGCAGGTGCACGGGTATGTTGGTATGGGTATATATATCTGTAGGTTGTGTATCCTTTGAGGTGTTACTGGGGTTATTGAAAATATGTATATATGTGTATTTGTATATATGTATGTATGGATAGATAGAAAGATATATGTATAAGATAAATAAATAAAAATACACGTAACATATAACGTAATTGCAAGGAGGTATTTCTGTAGTCTATTGATTACTAGATAGTGGAAAAGGGGTGGGATTAAATAAGCTTATGCTTCTTCCTGCTCCTTTTTGAACATGAAAGTTATTTGTAGTTGTGTTTGCTCGTTTTCCTTTTGCTTTGCTTTGTTTGTTTGTCTCTTTTTAATTCTATGTTGTTGTACTTTTTCAACATGTTCAAAATAAAGATTCAATCAATCAATCAACATGAGCATGAGCAGTAGCAAAAAACCTGACGAGACTTGACATGACAACAACAGAGGACCCGACAAAGAACAGAAGGAGGACTTAAATACACAGAAGGGTAATAAGGGAAGTGGACATGAGGGGGAAAGTAAAACTAAGCACCGTGAACATAGAAACAAGAGACGTTCAAAATGAAACAGGAAACATGGAAAAACATGAACTGGGACAAACAAGCTTGACACAAGAGACCGAGGGAGCGAGAGAGGGACACAAGGGAACGCTACATTGACGGGGAAACATAGAAAAAACATAAACCAGACTAAAACTCAACCAAGACAAACTAATAATAATACTAGAACTAAACATTATCTCATAAGACATCAACAATACAAAATAACACAAAAAGCTGGGACTCAGCCCCTGATAAGGAGTCGGGAGAAAAGGTTTTACGTCGTGTCCTAAAAGCAGCAGTACTCTCAGTCACCCTGAAAATCTTCTCCAGTCAGAAGCTGAGACTTACAGTGTCCACTTATGCTGACCACTTTAACTGGTTTCGTAATATGAAGGTTGCAATGCATGCAGGGATTTGGTAATGACATAAAATGGTAAACTGTAAATGAGAATTTAAGGATTTTGTCACTCAGTAATTTTTATCATTTTACTGTATTTCTAAAAACACTGAGGTTTGAATTGTTGGTTGCACAAAATGAACACCAGTAAGTAATGGTTTCTTTGGAGTCTGCTTTTTTCACCATGTTCTGTATTTTTAGAAACAAGCAGTCATTAGAGAAATGGTGATGGTAGTCTGAATAATTCATGTGGAAAATGATCCCCTGTTTGCAGCTGGATACCAACTGGCTCAAAAGCAACAACATCAACAACAGTAAAGTCCTGCTTTTCTATTAATGTACGAGCCATAAGAACCTAATGATAGTATGTGTTACAGACAATTACAGAGCCACAGCATATGTTTACTTTAATTATTTTAAGTGCATTTTCCAGATTCTAGCCATTTGCGAATACTTTCTCTCCCACACGTCACTCAGAAGCCAAACGACTGGAATAGTTAACATGAACTAAGCTTGCATGCGGTCTTGCTGCTCCCTTTTCCTTGTCAGAGCATCGAGTATGTTTGAGACAGAGCAGAAAAACATGGAGCTTTAGTATGACCTTAATCTGCTTGTGTGTGTGTCCCCCCCAAACACACACACATACAACCCAAGCCCTGTCCTTCTCTTGTTTCTCAGTAGCCAGCAAGTGATTTGTCACTGCTGTCACTGAATAGTTAACAAATAAACTAATTTAAACAGATAAATGTTTAGTTTTATACACGTACATCCAAACCAAATCTCTTTTTTCATAATCAGAGGCTGCCTCTGGGTTCACTTCGGCACAGATCCAAGCAGGGACCAGGCTGACCAGCAGAGTTTACTTTACCACTTTGCACAGGCCTACACTACAGAAATCTAAAGTCTGTGTTCTTCTGGAGCTTACCTGACAAGGCAAAGCACATGAATTCTCAAACCCCAGTTCAGGAAAACTTCACTCAGAGATTCTGCGTGTGTCAGCTGGTTCCAGCTCACTACTTAAAGCAGGGGTGTCCAACTCCAGGCCTCGAGACCGGTGTCCTGTAGGTTTTAGAGGCCTGGAGTTGGACACCCCTGCTTTAAAGGGAAAATTGATTAGACTGGGAGCACATGTGCTCCCCATCTCTCCTCCTGAAGCTGAGCCAATATCTACAACCCTCTGCTGCAAGATGTTATAGTTATCTCCAATAAATGACCATGAACAACTGGAAATTGAATGTAATTGTGTGATTCATTTAAAAACACCTGTTAGATCGTCTCTCTGATTGGAATTAAAGATGTTTTTAAATCCTTCTGTAGCAACCATCACTACCAGATTCTATTCATATATCTTGTATTGTATTTTATGCATTGTGTTTTTCCCCCATCATCATTAATCCCATTTTTTTCTCCACAGCTGAGACCCAGGTCTGCTTCAGGTACTACCATGGTGTCACTGGGGCACTGAGGGCAACCACACCCAGTGTAATCATCAAGAAGGGCTCAGCGCCTGTGAGTCTCTCATCATTTTATCTCCTCATTGTGACCCATGCAGCTTTGTGGAGATTCTCACTCGGTGTCTCGTGGCTCGCTGGGAATGACAGTTTGGTTTATTCATTAGCGCTTACTTCCATCGGTTAGGTCAGTCATTCAAGTTTTAAGAGAAGAGACAAGCTGCTCTTAAAATAAGTTAGCTGCAGTTGCACCTATGCTGAATGAACTTGATCCGCTGAGTACACTTGCATCTGACATGTCTTAAACAGACTGCTTTTACAGTTAAACCCCAGACAGAGGTTAAACAGCACAGAGTTGATTTGTCCCTTTAACACTTAGCAAATACGGAGAGATGCTTATTGGTATAGACCTTATCGCAGTACCCAGACTTTAGTGTCATGGGAAGGTCATGGTGATAGAAGGGTGTTATAGACAAGCAACACAGTAATTCTTAAAGACAGATTTTAGCCTTGCAGTGTCCACCAGTTGAGCTTTTTAGGGTTAAAGGCAAGGGCTAGGGTTAAACTCAAATTACTCCTTTACATGAAGTTTTCACCTATCCAACTGGAAATTGTTTGACAGAAGAACAGTGAGGCCAAAATGCACGTAGGAGACTTAATTTGAAAGCTGTCGTTGTCTAGTTCCTGAAGCCATGCTTATTTACCATGAAGCTAATGCTAACCAAGCCTCTTAAATGGGAGAGGGGAGACAGTCACTGTCGAGGGCTGGAAGCAAGCCGACATAGCTCATGCTTTACAACTTGAAGGTTATAACATTCTCATATTACTGCCAAAAGTATTTTCCCATTATGAACAAAATGTTTGAAATGATAGTTGAAAGAGAGTCCTTCAAACTATTTGAGTTTGTAACCTTTATTGAGCTTCATTTATTTGTTGCTGTCCATACATCCACTTTAGGATGCTCCAGAAATACTGTAGGCAAGAAGAAATACTTGCAGTCCAAATGACTCAACCTGTGGTTAAAATGCATCTCTTAATGTTGCTAACTCTTACAAACTGCCTTTTTAGCAGAGGAACCTCACCTCGTATTTGATATTTGCTGTAAGAAAGGCACATCTGTTCAAGCTTCTTCAGATCTGTGCACTAAGTGACTTTTCAAGGTGTAAATCTCATGCTGTCAAATAGTGCGTGAACACTGTATAAGCAGTAATTATGTAGAAATGCAGTGTTTTTAACAATCCTATTATTCATCAGTGTATCACACAGCATTGTCCTAAGGCCTGTATCAGGCAGTTGCTGTCATCAAGAGGGTGCCCGACAGGGTGATTGGATTTCCATGTTTCCCTTCCCATTCTGCTGCTGTGGGACCCTGGAAATGCTGATGGCCCTAGAACCTGATCTGTACTTGCTTCCTGAGGACAAAGGAATAAAAATAACCACCACAGAAAAAAGACAGGAAGGGAGGGAACAAGTAGAGAGAGCAGAAATCCTGTCCAGTTCAGGTAAGTCATTCAGGTATTTGGAGACAAGAGCTAATGCGGCTGGAGCCTCCCACATCACAAGAAGAAGAAGGAAAATAATTGGAGACGCGAAGAAAGGACATGGAGAGCCGGGATAGCATTACAGAGTGAATCGTCTGAGCTTGTTTACTGTCGCCAGTCAGAAACTGTCAGATGCAGCAGAGAGAGAAGACATTGTGTTTGTTTGTGTACGTGTGTGATGGATGGCATGTGTCTCCAGCTGGGGCTACTGTCTCCCAGTCACAGGAGCGGTAGGAGGACAAGGCTAGGCTGGATAACATGGGTAACTGTACATATCTATTCCAACCTGTTCATGTGTTTCCTTTCTGTTCATCTCTTTGGTTTACTTGCATCAGCTTAATAGACGTGTCAAATTGATTGTGATGCAGTAAACATAGAGTCAGCTTATCATTGTCATATGTAGATCATTGTCTGATCTATTATGCACAAAACCTAGCCAGTGGTTAAAAAAATGTATTACAAAAAGTAGGACATTTGCTTTTGGTCATTTATTTCTTTGTTGTAACAATGGCAATAAATCTTATACCTAAATGGTAAATAGTGCTTTTCTACTTTTTCTGAGCGCTCCAAGCATTCATGGGTTGAGCAGCGCAATTGAGTATCTGGGTTATACCCATGAAAAATCTCCCAAATCTTGTGTTCTGGTGCCAAACAGCTCATTCTGCTATTGACTCTTGCTTGGTGTTGTTCATTTGATTGGAAGATTGAGGTTCGAAGAGACAAGAAACACTGGTACTTTAAGAGCTTTTGTCATAAGAGGGAAATGCTGGTTGAAGAATGGGATAGCGGTGTGTAACCAAGCCAGAGCAAGACATGGCAGGCTGTTGGAGCCGTGCATGGTTCTTTCTCATGCTGCTGAGGACCTTATTCATTTAATGCATTTTCCTTACAAGCCTGGCACTATTTAAGAGGAAATAAACAGGCTTTCCACTGGTATAAGATTTATTGTGAAGAAGCATTGTTACAACAAAGAAATTGACCAAACATAAATTTCATTAGAAGTTTATTTGATGATGCTGTAATGCTGTGCTTTAGCATCGTATAGTTTTATTTAGCCTTACCTGAGACAGGTCATCGGCAAAAGCTCTCCTTGGACCACTGTCTTAGACAAGAACTGGGATTCTCCAGGTATAGCCTTGTACCTACTGCCATAGCTTCGACATGGTAGCAGAACAGGAAAGGAGACAACATGTGTGTCTCTTTTCCATTCCTGAAAAGAACTTTTGATTCGTTGTCCTTGGAGTACTCTGTATGTCATCCCTTTGTAGGCCTGGCTGCTTTCTCATGGTTATAATGCTGATGTGTAGAGGGAACAGTTTTCCTGCGTGGTTAGTGGAGGACCCTGTCTTGCAAAAACTAGCAGAGTGGTCCCAGAGGTAACAATCAGTCAGCTCTTTCTGTTAAAGAATATCTTGCCAAGGACAGATAGTGGTGCTCTTTTGTTGATAGCCTTTCTTTGGCAGCTTAATGAGATTACTACCTTTCTACTCTTAAGCAGAGACCTACTCGATTATACTCGATTGATGAATAAACTACAAAACCAAATCACCAAAAAAATCACCAAACATGTCCAAATATGGTTACTTTTGTCTCAAAAAAGAAAGCAAAAGTGATGATGCTGAAGCTTCAGAAACCAGTGGGTGACTATATAGTGGTTATGTCTATCATCTGGAGTCCCAGAGCCATAGCAATAGCTTTGTAACTCTTTCCATACTGATGCCAGTGACTTTGTTTCTTAGATGTTCTTGAGTTTCTTTAGGTCGCGGCATGAAGTGTTGCCTCCACCCCCCCCACCACATCCAAACAACAATTCATGACTTTCTTTTAAGAGCAGAGTCCAGCTAAAAGATAAAACACATTTACTTCAACGCTTCTCCATTTATGAAATGCACTGTCAGAGCAACTTCCTGGGTCATTTTCACTGAAGTGCAAAAAGCACCAGTCCCATAAAATGCAGCCAACAGATCAGCATTAGATGATGGCGTTCCCCGTCCACCCCCACCAGCCCTACTCTCAACGCTGAACTGACATAACCTACTTAACATTACCCTCCCACTCCCTGTCTCTCTGCTCATCCACGCTAACTGATTTAGCTCAGACTCAGACTTTCCGTCTTCAAAGGCAGTGGGTGTATTAAAATATCTTAATACCAGGGTGTATCTGACCTGCAATCAGATGGGGATGCACTTTGTAAATGTAAGCTCTCTTTCGGGGTTGCAATGGTGGGAGAGAGGGGTACTGTTATTTCCATAGAATCAGTCTCGTCTTACATCATTTAAGATTCTTGCAACACTTGAAGGAAGCTCATGAATTATACATACTTTTCCTTTCTTTTATACTTTTAGTGTCTTAGTGTTTGGTCTTTCTCTGAAGTGGGTGGTAAATGATATAAAGTGCGCTACAGATGGATGCATTTGTCATTTGGTTTATCGTGAGATTAGACCCACTGCAGAGACCCATGGTGGCACTTCTCTCCATAACTGTACTCAGCAAGGCAGATTAGCATCTCATTAAAATGAATTGGTCTAAACATCTGTCATTTCCTTCATCCCTTTATCTTGTTGTTTTCTCTGCTGGAATTGTTTCTGTTGTTTTGTTTCCAGTCAGTTGCATAAGCACTGAGAGTGATGCAGCATTTTGTGTGTCGTTGTGGAAAATTCTGACAGCCTGACAAAAAAAAAGCTTTTATGCAACAGAAGTGTAACTGTAAATACAAAACTCATAAATCTGTGTAAACCTATGTTTCAGTAGACCTTCTCTTTATTTAAGTGTCCAGTTTAAGCACAGTGCTGCCTCCTGACTAATGCTTTAAACGTGGCAGCACTACTAAATTCTTTTTCCTTTGAATCCATAAGATCAATAATTATTTTGTTTCCACAGACTAACTATTTGATCAGCTTTTGTTTACTGCAACAAGACTGGGTCATATCATACTACACTATACAATGAAGAATTATCTGTTTGCCCAACCACCGAGGATGCCTCCTCAAACTACTGGTTGTTTATTTGAAACTAATCTGTCTCAAAGTGCGATAAAGAAAAGAAAACGCTGAAAGAACTTGTATAAAGTATAATGTATAAAGAAGTGAGAGGTGGCTCAAGACTTTTGCACTGATCAGGACTGAGGTTAGAACTACCATCTACAGCCACACACAGCTGCTCAGCTGTTAACTCTTGTCATTTCTCAGCTGTTGTAGCATCAAGTGCTTGTGATATACAGATATTTTGTAAATTAATTCAACGTTTTCTTAACCACATTCTCTAAACGTAGTAAATCCTTCTTCATTTCTATCCTCAGAAAAACAAAACTTATTTAACATAAGCTTTTTGACTTTAATAATTTAGTAGGAAACGGCTTGGATATCCTTACAATCCTCTTCCTATTGCTTTGGCATGTAAGGAAAGTCAAACATGGGTGCTATATGTTAAAGCAGATGAACGATGGGAGGCTTTACACTCCCCTCCATTTCCAGGATCATGAGGACAGAGTATTGATCTGAGCACGCTGTCGGCCTCACTGAAAGCGGAGCTTTAGCAAACACTGTTGAAATGAAGCAGGCCTAAACGCGCATGCATCATCACGTTTCTCTCACCGTGTTCTTTTTGTTTACGAACACCTATTAACTCTTCACATCTGTGTGTGTGCGTCCAGGTACTGAAGCCAGTGGTCAGTCCTGAAGTCAACCATGGACTGGGCAACAGAAGACTTATTAACTTTAACCTGTCAGGTAGGCTGCTTCACTTCAGCTACAGGACAGTGACTTGTGTGTAACTTACTAATGTGTATATCCAATCTAGAATATATAGTAAAAGTTCAGCTTCACAAATCTGACATCTGGCTTCCTCTGCATTCCTGTGCCGTTTAACAAAACAGAAGATACACAGAACAGCTCGTCGTGAGAAAACAGTTTTACCAACTGCAGACACTCCACAGTTGCCTGTGAAGGTTAATAGACGGTTTAAATAAGCCGCTGCTACACCCTGAAGGTTTTGCTGGGAAAAGTCAGCCAGTGCTCAGCTGCAGAGAGAGAACAGCATGGTTGCACATCCCTGTGGCTCATCCTCTGGAGTGAGTACATGCAAAGTAATATCGATATAATCCAGGCAATTTGGAATAACTGGTTATGTTAATCCGAAGCATTTTGTTCATCACCAAGTTAACAGCTTTCTCAGCTAACGCCATTATGTGCTTGTGACAGTTCTGACAGAGGCTCATGCAGTACGTTAGGAACAATGTTTTTATGGAGGCTCAGGGGTTCGTACCACTGTGAACCTTTAACTGTGCTTCATTCTGGCTCTCAGTCTTTGTAAAACATAACAAAATATCACTTTTATAAAAAGCTTGTTTGCGTGTGGGTGAAATTTAATCACACTTACTCGTTCACAGGTTGTATTGCATCACGTTATAAAGACACTGCTTTTGTGTTTTGCACACACTACCGTATATTTGCTGTCATGTATTTGTATGTAGTGAAGAAAGGTTTTCAGCTCCGTCACAGGATGTTGTGAATGTGAAACATAAGTACAGCCTGTTCCATATTTTCCATTATTCTCTGTAAACAAAGGCTTTACAATTTCTAACAGTAAGTGACAGTCGTGCTGCAGTATGCAACGCATGCATTACTTCAGTCTTCAGCCACTGGAGCCAGTACAGTATCTCAGTATTTTCCAGAGAGGGGATTCAAAGTACTTGAAACGATACATTAAATCATTAAAAGATGTCATAAGACAGTCGTAGGAAGTCTGTCTGTGTCGCTGTTACAGTGCTCAGCACACTATATGACGTTCTTTCAGCACTAGTTTCTAGGATGATTTGAACTGGAATTACTGGACACTGCATCAGCCTAATAAAAGCTGCATTTTCACTCGTTTGCCTTTGGGTCCTCAATACTCCCACACTTGTTTTAGACCTGATGTTTCTAAACACTTATTGCCATCTCCAGGATTTCCAAGCTGAAGTTGGCCGAGAGCAGAAAGCTGTTTACTTGGTGTTCAGGATTAGTCACTAAGCTAACATGAATGTTAGCCTGTTGTTATTAGAAAATGGTAAGATTAACTTCAAAGTGTTTTTCCACATTATCTAGATTATATCTATATTCAGAAATACACATTACTTAGCATATACTGACTTCAGAGGATGAGCCACAGCATGTCTCTGTGCTCTCCATCTGCAGCTGAGCACTGGCTGATTTTTCTCTGCAGGGGAACCTCCAGGTTATGTAAATCATATATTACCTTCAAAGGCTACTGTGCAGTGTCTGTAACTGGAATGTCTGTTTTATTAGAAAGAAAAAATGGAACACAGAGAAAGCCCAGATATTCCAGTTTTCCACCACGGTTACATTTGTGAGTCTGTGCAAACCCCAGGTGAGCACGTGACCTTACGTTGATGTGTTAATGGCCTCGTGTCGAGGCAGTCTGGACTTGTTGTAGTGATTTCTCTGCTGCCTATTTGATGTTATTTTAATTTGGGGTAACTCAGACGTGTCAGCCCTCACTCCTTTCTGCGGTTATGTAATTCATGTTTTTTCCCCCTTTGTAGTTTAAGACCAGACTGGGCAGCCTGCTGTTTTATTTTTTCCAGAGTAAAACCTTTATTTGTGCTGGTGCTATAGAGGGGAAGTCTCCCAGCCGTCCATTTGTGCTGATTTTTAATTCTTAGAGTGTTTTTAAACAATGTGTTTTATGCTCTGTCACACATCGAGTGTAAGCGCACTGTTGGGATTTAGCTAAAGAATAAATGTGGAAAAAGCCTCACTGTGGACTGCTGTGATGTAATTGTGCTGACGTGTAGATCAGTAAGGCTGAGGGTGGGCTAAAGCTGTGAGTGTTTCCAGGAGCACAGCAGGGATCAGAAACTGAACATGATCTCTTTATTCAGAGTAGTTTGTATATCTGTGGTTTTGTCTGGTGAGAATCTTTCTAAACGTATTACCTCTAAAAATACTTAGTCTAAACAAGCTGTAGCTTTAACTAAATGAACATCGGAATCATAGACTAATAGAAACCAGACACACGTGTGTCTTCCCAATTTTACAAAACTGTGTGTGTGAATCTTCAGACCTCCAGGCAGTGGGACTGAAAAAGGGGATGTTCTTCAATCCAGACCCGTACCTGAAGCTGTCCATTCAGCCCGGAAAGCACAGCATCTTCCCGTCTCTGCCACACCACGGCCAGGAGAAACGTTCCGGAGTGGTCTGCAACACTGTCAACCCTAAGTGGAGCACAGAGGCAAGCCTTCGCAATTTCTCTCCTGTGTGTTGCTTGCATGCCATCTTTAGACTCTCAGAGTGTTTAAATGACAGTATCAGTATCCATCCTTGGCCTTTCCTGCAAAATGCAGGCTTAAAGCTGGAAACCTAAAGTCAATCACATGTTTTGAGTAAGTTTGACTTAACCAGGAGGAAATGTGCATTCTTTAAACAGTACGCTACTTCTATCACCTCTGGCTTTAAACAGCGTATTTGTAGATACGTTTTGTTGGGAGCATTTCAAAGATGGAAACACCATCACCTGATCTACAGTCTAATCTTCAAAGAGTTACTTCATAGAGATATTTTCGCTTGTTTTTATATTCCATTCTTTTTAGCTTTCACATGTTTGATGTTATTCTCATCTAATGAATGCTGGCATAAAGGCATTGTTTCCTATTTAGACCAGATTGTGGTGGTTCATGCACAAGTACATGCTGTTTGTGTTTGTGATACAGACCAACTCTCCTTAGAGAATGTCTGTGTTAAACTTAAGCTTAGCCGCCAATACAGTGGATAACAGCAACAAGTGTTTTCTAGTGCCATGCTGTGAAAGATGGAAACAGCTTTCATTAAAGGCATGTAACGATCCCTTGTTTATTTGTGCTGCTATAGATTGGTGGTCTCATCAGGATATAGCCTGCCTCTTGCTGTATGACAGCTGGGATGGGCTTCAGCCTCCCTGCCATCTTAAAATGGATGCTGCTAAACAGAAGGACCATTCAAAACAAATTGAGGACCTTATTCCTAAACACGGACCAGAAAACTGCACTAATTGTGTACAAATTATGCAGGAAACCGTCCCCACCACAGACTCAAACATGACAAACCTCTCATACCACCTATGCAAGAGTCAAGTGAAAGAATATAGAGATAGTTTACGGATGTGACGCAAAAGAGAGCCGTCAGATGCTCCAAATAAATCTTAGACTTAAACGTTAGAACAGGCTTTTCGCAGCACACCGTGTGATAAATACAAAGAAAACACATCTAAAAATATATAGTTTCATGCATCGGTCAAAACACTCAACTCCAGGTACACGACGCTCAGCGGAAAACACTTCACACAAGTCAAGTTGCCAGAGATTCACAGAATTTACAGAAAATTGACTATTTTGTGAATTATATTGTTATTGGCTGAGAAATGTTTTATATCAGGATATGAGATTTTGGTCACATCGCACAGCTCTATCATATCGGTGTATTTATGTTCCCGGCAGGTGCCCGAGGTCTTGTGACCAGGGCTTGCAGGCCAGCACACTAGATTAAAGAAACCGTGACAGAGCCTTTGTTTCTGTGGCTCCCAGACTCTGGAACTGTCTCCTGTTGAGTTTGAGATCTGCAGACTCTGTCAGTTCTTTTAAAAAGCTCATCTTTTTAAACATTTTTTTTATGTTCTAGCTTCTGTGAAGCACTTTGTGATTTTATCTTGAAAGGTGTTACATAAATACAATTTCACTTACTTATTTATAATTCATCCACACACACATTCACACACTGGTGGAGGCAGCTACAGTTGTAGCCACAGCTGCCCTGGGGCAGACTGACAGAAGCGAGGCTGCCATATCGCACCATCGGCCCCTCTGGCCAACACCAGCAGGCGGCAGGTGAAGTGTCTTGCCCAAGGACACAACGACCGAGACTGTCCGAGCTGGGGCTCTGACCGGCAACCTTCCTGTTACAAGACGAACTGCCAACTCTTTGAGCCACGAAAATTTAGCATTAATGTAGTGATAATAGGAACTGTGAAGCTTACACATTCCTTCCAGTGACAAAATGTCAGAATGTTATACCGTTTCCACATGATGTTATTTTTTGCTTTAAGTTGTTATTAATGGATTTATGAACAAGGCTACTGTGTGTAACCCCAGAGGAGTATTAGAGCTACAGAGAAGCTGTTTGACCACAAGGAGACACAAAGTGCCTCAAGAACTGATACAAAGGCACCCAAATTACAAAAACAAATAAAAAAAGGATTGTGCAATTGTAAAAACAGACAAACATACAAGGGAAATATGACCAGAAACCGCAGAAGGCAGTGAAGAAAAATGTATGCAGTTAAATGCAGAACGACTGCAAATAAGCAAAAAACAAAACAGGAACTGGATGGAAGTAAAAATAGATTTTAAATGAACACAAATGGATGCGAATGGGATGTTCAGAATGTCTGCAGAAAGACACGAAATCATCATTACTGGATGGCATATAACACGAAAGACAATAAAATCATTAAAAAAAACAGTGAAAAGAGACAGAAAACCAGTATGAGAAGAGTCAAGTCTGTACAATCAGAAGCAAAATGATTCTGAAAAAGCTCAAAGGTTTGAATCACACTGACTTCACATAATCATTTCTTCTTTTTTGTGGGAGAAACGATTTCCGGTCCAAACATGTACTAAGTTTAGTCAACCTGCTATTTTCAGATAACTAAATGCTTCTGGTCTTATTTTCAGTGATGTTTGAAGAAATGTAGCCTGAAAATCTGTTAGTTTGGTTGAATCATGACGGGTAATACAATAATAATACAATAATAATACAATAATAATGCAATGAGCAAAATGTAAGTTATTCAAGCAAATTCACTGTCTGGATGGTGTACCACAAAAAAGTCAGGAAAATAAATTCTATTAATCATTAATATTATTAATGACTTGTGGCTATGTGGTGCAGTGGTTAACACATCCACCTTATACATAGAAGATCCTAAGTAAGGAGACGAACCCAGTGTCATGGGGTCAAGTGAGGCTAATGTCTCAAGGTTAGCATCAGGAAGGGCGTCTGGTCTAGAATCTGCACCAACTCAAAGCTGTGGATACATCCACTGTGATGACCTCTTAAAGAAGCAGTTGAAAGTACCAATGGTAAATATAAAATGGTAAAGGGCCTGTATTTGTACAGCGCTTTACTCAGTCCCTGAGGACCCCAAAGTGCTTTACACTACATTCAGTCATCCACCCATTCACACATACTGGTGGTGGCAGCTACACTGCAGCTGCCAATGTTAATAATAAACATTTTAGTTCTCTGAAAATCATCCAAAAGGCCCCAAATCAAAAACATGGTGAAGTCCAGCACCTGAATTAGCAAAGGTGAAGCATGGCCAATACCAGCTGGCTCCAACTGTCACATGACACTGTGTGGCAGGCAGAAGGTGAAACCCAATGCAGGACTCTCAAGACGAGAGTTTAACTCTGACTAGACAGAAACTAGGAACTGACTGTGTGACTAATAAGCTGGAAGCAGCTACAGTTATACAGCTCACACAGGGCACACAGCAAGCAGGACGACACGACAAAACAAAAACAGAAGCAAACTGAGGGTTTAAATAAAGATTAGGCCAGAGTGGAGAAACTTGGGGAACACAGCTGAATAGAATCAAAATTCTCTTCATTCCCCAAATTGTCGTATTATATAATTTCTCTTATTGTTGAAACAACAGAAGCATTTACAAAGCAAAATGTCCTGCTGCGCCCCGTACAGCCCCAGAAAGGATAGTTAGGGTGAAATCAGTGTAATCCATGAAAATCGTGTTTGCTTTGTGAAAAGCAAAAGCACCTAATTATTGTAGACTTGCTGGAAATTACTCTACAATCTGTTGTGGACAAAGCAAATGAGTGGCATAGTAGGAAAACAGAACACAAAAAATGCACCCATTCTCCATGTCGCCAGACCGGTAACCAGGTGAATATATTTCCTACTCATTCCTCAGAAACACCTCAAACGTGGCATGCCTGCCAACTGTAATCACTGGAATAGACACGCAACACCATACACACACTACCTTATCATGATAAAGTCTATGTGGCTACTACACTATGCATGAAGCCTTTTCTACACTGGTACATACAGAGAATCTTTTAAACACAGTAAGAAGGATCTTTTACATGGTAGAGTGAATCGTGCCCAACACAGTTAAGACAAAGTTGAAGCCTCAACATGAAGGCATTTGTCCCTCAGCTCAGTTTTAGCGTTAAATCTGTTTGTTTGTTTTTTAGATTCATTCCTTTGTTTTTGTATCCAGACATCACAAGCAGGGAGTAGCTCTAACAGAGGAACTGATTATATGCTCTTGTTACGACCCGGCTCAAAAGCCACAACATAAAAAAGGAGACGAATACCAGAGTGTCGGTGAGCAGAGGTTTTATCTTCAAATGGAAAACCAGGTTGGCTAAAATGGTTGGTGCCACCGAGGCAAAGACAAGCGAGCTCTCTGGGAAGCTTGCCTCAGGTATGCTTTTATTCACACCTGACTAGGTGTGGATAAATGAGGTAGCCAGATATTTGACATGGTTTAGGGACTGCATTGTGAACAATACAAAATGTGAATAAGCAGTAACCATTGTTTCAATAGGAGATTATAAATGAGGTGATGCCAATCAGCACTGTTCTGTGCTTAAGCTTCTACATGATCTGGAATAGAACAGGCATAACTATGCTGTGACCCTGTGATTTGTGCACAAGCTCCACTGATCGCAGGATGTCCTGTGGCACAGTCTCTATCTTTATTATGTCCCTCAGGAGACTCATACAGAGATTTAATGTGGTGTCCCAGTTGACAGCATCCACTCAGCTCTAAGTCACTTTCCTTTTTCCAAACTGATCCCATTTTGAGCGAGCTGCTCAGCTTGCTTGGCAGTGATGTACTGTGTCAACTCTAATGGAACATGCTGGCTCATCCAGCAGACTTTCCATACTGCAGTCCAGCACTGCGCTGTATGAGACACAATTTTGAATCAAAACTGAATGTTTAACGTGGCTTCCTGTCTGTAGAAGCAGACTCTGTTGTTTACATAAAGGTGTGCAATTCTCTGTTAACAG